ATCCAAAGTGAGGGAATCCCAGGGTCACCAGAACTTTTCTGGGGACACCCCAAAATTTGGGATTTACTCTTAGATTCACATTCATTGATAACAGTAAACAAGACAAATAGAGAGGATGAATCTCCCTAAGAGGGGTACACGCCGTAATTAAAATCTGAAAGAGGTTCTAATCCCTCTCCCCTCTATCAAAAACTTAAAAAAGAAAGTTTGCCTTTAGTTATACTTTATAGCTGAAGCGTTGGCAAAAACCTTATTGGTACCTACAAAGTACCTTTAACGATATGTAGCACTGCTCCCTTAGGAGTCACTGAATTATTTTTGGACTCCCTGTCACTCTGAAACCCTCTCTGAAAGCCCAACCCCTGCTGACACCACAGTACTCTTCTGACCAGAGTAAATTATCACCAGAAAATAGACTCACACACAGATTGGAGTGAACTGATATGATGTTTATATTAAACTTGGATGTAAGCTCAGTCAAACAGTAAAAAGTGGTATATGTTTACGTAGTGGCAATTACGACTCTTAGTAATTCTAAGCAAAGAAAACAACACATACAGCAAAATCTCAGTGTTGGCAGGCCTTCTATTCAGATGTTAACCCAAAACCTCAAACCTGAGGTGCTTCTAGTCCCCAATGAGCAAGGAAACTATCAAAGGTGGAACGAGCTAACTTTGGGCCCTCAGGATCTGATGGCAAGGTTTAAATCTGAAATAGAAAGCATCTCCTTTAATTAGGGTAGTCAACGTTCCTTTAAATGCAGTGAGGAATCTTCTGCGTGCTCGTTGGGGCCCAGTTGGTGCACTACAATGATCCAGACTTTTTAAGAAGGAAAAGATGAAACTTTCAGTCTCTCGAAGGATTAATACCAGGGAAAAAAAGAAAGAACAGATACTGTGTTTCTTTAATGCACTAAGCAGGTTGCAAACGTTAGGCAAAAAGGTGTCAGAAGTTGACAGAAGCATTTGCTGGCAAAGAGCAACTCCTCTCTGGGCTGCAGTAACTAATGGCAATGGTGGTAGATGTTCCTGTAACAGGGTAGGATAATCATGGTTAAGGGAACAATTATGTGGTTTGGTCTGCAGAAGGCTTGCACTGTGGCCAGCTCTAGTGGTTGGACTATGCTGAAAATGTGCTCAACAGGAGCCACTGGGGAACTAAGCCTCAACAAGTGTTAACTATATGTAGTGTCTGAAAGTGTGGGCAGAAAAGTGACAGATTGGTAAGGAATGTCAGTGTTCACATATGTAGCTGGTGTATGGGACTCTCTCATCTGATCTGGGCTTTCAGCTGGTCCTGGCGATCTCTCTCTGATGACCAGATCAGATGACCAGAGTCTGCAGAATTAGCTGTCACTTTCACCGGAGTTAACGGAAACCTTGTTTCTTTTAAGAAACTAAAAGGAAACAATGTTTCTCTTAACTCGGGGAAATAAACTAAAAGAAAATTTTCTTTCTTTTAGATAGGGGGAAAGTGACAGCTAAATTTCTGAGGGGCGGGGCCACCCGGGGACATCACCCGAGTGACCCTGCCCCATGTAACATTATTGATGTCACATGGGGTGGGGTCACATGCGTGATGTCTCCGTGTGGCCCCGCCCCTTACATATGTAAGAACTGTCAAACCACCAGAGCAGGCAGAAGGCTGAAAGCCATCATCGGGAGCGGAGCCTTTTTTTAAATTCTTTTTTTTCAGGTCGTGGCGGTGACGGTGGGCATCGTGATTGACATTGGATCTACTGCGGGGGACAGTCTCTTAGTTTTTTCTTTTAATAAAGGACTTGGGGGGGCTGGGATCTAGGTGCCCCCTTTTTAAAGTCCCCCACAACCACCGGCCAGGGTTGTGGGGAAGAAGCCCTTGTTCCCATCAACATGGGGACAAGGTGCGGCTGGGGAGCCCCCCCATGTGGCCTGGTATGGTTCAGGAGGAGGGGGGGCCGCTCACTCGTCAGCCCCCTTTCCTGACCTGCTGGGCTGCATGCTTGGATAAGGGTCTGGTATGGATTTTGGGGGGGACCCCCACGCCATTTTTTTTTAAATTTTGGCATGGGAGTTCCCCTCACAATCCATACCAGACTCGAAAGGCTTGGTATGGATGGGAGGGGGGACCCCACAACATTTTTTAAATCATTTTTTTAATTGCAGGCAATTCTTTTACATTCAGCTGCCAGTGGGGAACCCCGCTGACAGCTGAAACATTACCAAATGATTGTCACTAATAAAATACCACATGACTTGATAAAATAACTAATGCGGTATTTTAGTAGCGTTTACTTTTTTCTGACCTCCGGAACAGATTAATGGGTTTTCAATGCATTCCTATGGGAAACTGCGTTTTGGTTTATATATTCTTTGCTATACAAAAAGTCCTGCAGAACAATGTAAATGCGTAAACCGAGGTATTATTGTATTTAGTTCTTTGTCTAGGAAGCATGCTGACTTCCTATTGCATGCCACTTTTACTACCACTAGACAGGGGGGTCAAAGGAAAAGACGAACATTATTTGAAAATAAGATTTGTATCCTAAATGCATCCTAAATACCATCAGAAACAAGGGAACCACTTCCCCATTTAAACTGAACCTATCAAGTAATATTAGTCCTCTTCTCATTTACCCCAACCCCTCCAATTCTCTATAGCCTAAAGAGCTAACAATGGGTGTCTATCTACTCTACACTCTCTTTTGCAATGTTTGTGTCTGACAAAGTGTGATGTTCAGACAAAGCTAGACAATCAGTAACTTTACGTAAACGCAGAGACCATACAATGTCAGCGTTCAAGTATCAGCCAGAAAAGGGGGCCAGAGCAGCTGTCGGGTAAATATTAAACAGCTTTTCTTAAGCTGCTTTGCTAATAGGATAGCAATAAGTTACCATTAGTTACCGTATGTGGTGGCTGCATTTGTTTCCCTTTTTTAGCCTTTTTCCTTCATTTTCATCTGCCAGTAACACTCTACCTGTCTTAGGGTACTTCCACCCTGAATGGAGGAGGAACAGAGACAGCTTTGGACAGCAGCATTGTGAATCTGGAAAGAGGGTAGTTTTAGATGCATAAGCAGATTTTGATAGACATGCCTAACAACGCCAAATTCCTGCAAACAGTTTTAAAGTGTAACTAAACCCTTCTATCCTTTTCAGCCTTTTCTATCCTTCTATCCTTTTCAGCCAAGGAAGTTACTATCTGTAGCCATAGCCTCTGTTTGTTCTGCAACTGCCATGGATCCTGCAGATGTGATCAATTATGACACCAGCCGTTTGATTGAGAACACAAGCAAATGTGACAGTTAGTATTCCCAGCATGCGGGGAATGTAACTGTTTTTTGAAACCGTTAAACGGATGGGTTTAGTTCCACTTTAGGCAGTTACAGCAACATTATTTTCTTTTGGGATAAAGGTTTTACATAAATTAAAAAAGCTGACTATAGTCAGTGTTAAATAGTATGCCTCAACCCTTCAACTGCCACTTTTGCTGGACAGCTTGGTCTGTTAAAGAAAGTTACAAAATAACAGACCTACTGGCTTGATAACTAGGTGTAAAAAAGAAACCTATTGCAGTCAGACATGTAACAATTGGTATTACATTTTTTGTTTTTGGTTTAATACCGATCCAAGCCTTTTTCAAACTTGATTTGATTGAAAAAGGAAACGTTAAAACACATTCACATAACTTTACAAAAGTGATATAACACTGAAAAATGCAAACAATTTAGGCACCATAGTAAAACTACATATACAATTTGCTGATCACGCCCAGGGGCGGAGTGACCATTTGTAGACTAGGGCACTCCCCGAGGGCCCAGGGTCAGTAGTGGGCCCCATGAGATGCCCCTGGTACGTTTTTCATAGGCTTTTTTGAGTTTGGGCAAGGACACAGGGGCCCCATGATCCCCTATTGCCTGGGGGCCCCATGAGTTGTCAGTCCGCCCCTGATCACGCCACTTCATATCATGCATGCTAATGTTCACCATCGTCCTTATGATGGACCACAGGTGATACAGCAACCAATCACAACATACTTCTGACTGCACAGAACAATGTCATTAAAAACTGCACTTGTAACCAACTCCTTAGTATTCTTCACATTATCAAAAACAAATTTTAATGGTCCTACCAAAATTGCACACAACACACAAGAACAGTGTGATCTTAAGCCCCTTTCTATGTTGCCCAGAATGGTGATGGGTGGGAAGGTCAAAGTGGTTATTTTGACGAATATGAACAAAATAGTTCATTTTGAGATTTTTTTTTTATAATTTTGGCCTGATATTACAACATGGAAAAAGTCAGAAGCATCCAGCATTTTTTTTCAAATGTACATTCCCTTTTAGACACCAACTGACATCTTTTTATCCAGTGACAGGCATTTTAACACTTTCAAAAACTGTGTATATATGGTAAAAATGAGCACAAAATCTCAGGCCAACAACATCAGTGGAAAGGTTAATAGGGATTAAGATTCACAGAAAATGTCACTTTGACACTCCAGTAACCTATTTCTTTATACGTTAACACTTTTTAAAAACAAATTGTAGAAATAACTGAACATTTTTAGACGTTTTCAAGCTGCACTGCAATTTGTAGTGTAAGAAATGTAAGCCTGCAAAAAGTAAATACTGATAAAGGTTTAAAATAATAATAAAACACAGCAAAAGTATGGTTATGTATTTCCATAAGAACAAGACGGAAGAGACATGGGGGTGTAACTATTAAAGCGAGTTATGAATTAACAGTGAAGCACTTTTTTGTTGTCCTACAGCATCACATTGGAAATGAACTGTGCTGCCTGTAAACACTACTATATGGTACATTATACAGGATGCCTCTAAAGTTTGAACACATAGGAAATATCACTATATGTGTATATATACATTATATTACCAAAAGTATTGGGACATCCCTCCAAATCATTGGATTCAGGTTTTCCAATTACCTCCATGGCCCCAGGTGTATAAAATCAAGCACCTAGGCATGCAGACTGCTTCTACAAACATTTGTGAAAGAATGGGTCGCTCTCAGGAGCTCAGTGAATTCAAGCGTGGTACCGTGATAGGTTGCCACCTGTACAATAAGTCCATCCGTGAAATTTCCTTGCTACTAAATATTCCATGGTCAACTGTTAGTGGTATTATAACAAAGTGGAAGCAACTAGGAACAACAGCAACTTTGTGTGGCCTTCAGATTGTCACAACAACAGTGCATAGAGAGCTTCATGAAATGGGTTTCCATGGCCGAGCAGCGGCATCCAAGCTTTACATCACCAAGTGCATTGCAAAAGGTCGGATGCAGTAGCGTAAAGCACGCTGCCACTGGACTCTTGAGCAGTGGAGACATGTTGTCTGGAGTGACGAATCACGCTTCTCTGTCTGGTAATCTGTCTGGATTTGACGATTTCCTGGAGAACGGAACTTGCCTGACTGCATTGTGCCAAGTGTAAAGTTTGGTGGAGGGGGGATTATGGTGTGGAGTTGTTTTTCAGTGGTTGGTCTTGGCCCCTTAGTTCCAGTGAAGGGAACTCTTAAGGCGTCAGCATACCAAGACATTTTGGACAATTTCATACTCTCAACTTTGTGGGAACAGTTTGGGGATGGCCCCTTCCTGTTCCAACATGACTGCACACCAGTGCACAAAGCAAGGTCCATAAAGGCATGGATGAGCAAGTTTGGGGTGGAAGAACTTGACTGGCCTACACAGAGTCCTGACCTCAACCCGATAGAACACCTTTGGGATGAATTAGAGCAGAGACTGCGAGTCACACCATCTTGTCTGACATCAGTGCCTGACCTCACAAATGCGATTCTGGAAGAATGGTCAAACATTCCCATAGACACACTCCTAAACCTTGTGGACAGACTTCCCAGAAGAATTGAAGCTGTTATAGCTGCAAAGGGTGGGCCAACTCAATATTGAACCCTGAGGACTAAGACTGGGATGCCATTAAAGTTCATGTGCATGTAAAGACAGGCATCCCAATACTTTTGGTAATATAGTGTATATGTGTATAACATATCACTATATAAGCTCACCAGGCCTTAACCCCCTTGATTCTGTTTTTGGTGTATGCTAAAGAAAAAGGTGTACTCAATGAAAAATCACATATATGAATCACCTGAAGGAACGCATCATGAACAAATCTGTTCATATTGACAGAAATGTGGAGTTACTGCATCAGGTTAATGAGAATCTTGCAAAGCGCATGGAACGTTGCATCACAAATGGTGGAAATCACACTGAAGATGTTATTGATTAACAGTGCAATGAACTATGTTGTTGAAAAATATGTTGAAATGTATTAAAAATATGCATTTTGCCTATCTGTCCAGACTTCAGGGACACCCTGTAGCTATAAATATATCACAATACATACCTACACAATACTGATGGCCAGTTTTCTAATTGTCTAAATCATAATTGCCAGAACATACAAAAATGCACATGGATGAATTAAAAATGACTATATTAAAGTAGTGCAGCAGAAAGAATAAGAGTCACTGCTGTTCACCTGCCACCATAAATCAACCGCTGATAACAAACCAATTAAAGTAGCCATAGAAAGTTAGATTTTGATCTGTCAGATCCATGAAATTTATCAACAATGCAAAGTGAGAGCCTAATGACTGAATACATTCTGGGCTTGCTGCTTTTATATACCTTGTTAATCTGGTATGTTAAAAGGTCAAAAGCCAAATGAGTATGATCTCTTTAGTCTCTATACCAGACTTTCTCAGCCTTTTTACACTAGAGGAACCCCTAAAATAGTTTTCAGGTCTCGGGAACTTAAAACCAATTCATCGGGACTCAATGGCAAAAATACCCCCTTTTCATGCTACCCTTATAGGCATATAAAAAGATAACTGGAGTAATGCTGCTGGCTTTGCCAAATACTTTGACTCTGGAACTATGCAGGCACCATCAAATGTGAGGTTAATCAGCCACAAATCAAGGAACCCCTAGCAACCTCTGGAGGAAACCTGGTTGAGAGTTCCCACTATATATGGTAAATTACACCACAGCTGGTTACTGAGATCATTTTTTGTTTTGGATAATTGATGTATATTCCATAAATCTTGGAATTCTTGTTAAATCAGAGGTGACTTTCAGTGCAGCCAAAAACCCTCCTAGCTGGGAGCTAGCACTGCAATATAACTGTTTTTGAGACATTTTATGCAGGTTTATATTAGTTGTACTGCTTCCCTGTAAGTGCATTAACATACAGTCAGAGTTGAGCAACCTGTAATGAATCTACTTAACTCAAGGAGAAATACTATATGACTGGGAGCAGGGACATGATGGGAAATCGGGAGCAGGGACATGATGGGAAATCGGGAGCAGAGACATGATGGGAAATCTGGATCAGGGACTTGATGGGAAAACGAGATCAGGAACATGATGGGAAAACAGAGATCAGGAACATGATGGGAAAAAGGGATCAGGAACATGATGGGAAATCGGGATCAGGAACATGATGGGAAATTGGGATCAGGAACATGATGGGAAATCAGGAGCAGGAACATGATGGGAAACCGGTACTAGGGAAACGATGGGAAATTGGGATCAGGGACATAATGGGAAATTGCGATCAGAGATATGATGGGAAATTGAGATCAGGGACATGATGGGAAATCAGGATCAGGGACATGATAGGAAATCAGGATCAGGGACATGATGGGAAATTGGGATCAGGGACATGATGGGAAATTTGGATGAAGAACTTGATGGGAAATCAGGATCAGGAGCAGTGTGGGTTTTAATGCACATACACATTCCCACATATGACTTATGGCAGTAAAATATGCCATATTGTAATGTATTGTTTGTAATTTTACATTTACACAAGGTAGTAAATTATTAGTTAAAAGGCATAATAAAAATATTCACACTTACTCCAATTTTTTAAAACTTTCCCTTCCTCCTGCCACATAGCACTCTCCTGGTTGAAGATCATCCAGAGACGTAACCCTGTGTCCATTTCTTGGAGTGTAAAGGTTCCTTACTGCTCCAAAGGGGGCTTGCACTCCGCCTGTGACATCCTTCAGGAAGACCTCAAAAGTGCCAACCCTCTTCTCATGAATCAGCATTCGGCGGCCACGATAATAGGGGTCTCCATTTCTGTAAACGTGCACTGCTTTGACAGCAGGTTGTTGGGCGAGGGGGGCTAAGGATCGCCCACCACCCCCTGCAGCTAGAGTGGGCTGCATACTCCACGCACTGGCTGGCTCACCTGTAGGTTCAGCAGTCCCTGAAAGTGAGAAGTCCAAAGTTAGTTACTTGAACGAATGGCTCCTTGCTGTGTACCTTCTTAGGAGGATTCCAGGGTACTAGCAACTACCTAGTGTTGTGTGACTTTTGGTATCCGTCTTCTATTGTCCTCTCCTATATAATTATCTCTGGATAGTGTACCTGCAGCTCTGTATGCAGTCTATCCTAACAATACATACCAAGCATGTAGAGTGAATGATCTGTAGATCTCAGACGAGATATCTATGTGTATGTGTCTACGTGTTCATTCATGTCAATCAAAGCTATTTTAGCAGCACATTAGAATGAAAGCCTTCTGATTCTATGCAGCCCACACACCTCTCGGAGTTGACAAGTGCTGCTGTCACAACCAGTGTGAGGTCTGAGAAATGCTGCAAGAGGGACCGCTGACACCTGCTGCTCTGCCCCCCCTGTCCTCCTCCTCCTCCTCCCTCCTGACCACACCTGCTAGCTGGGTGCACACTGACATCTTACATGAATAATGCATGAGGACCAGTCTTCATTCCCTGCCTTACACATTCCCTGCCTTACAACCCCCCTCATCATCACCCCGCCACACCATTCCATACACCGATCACAGCAAATACCTTTCCCTGCTCTCCAGATCTGTCAGGATTAAATGTCCTGCAGCAGCATTTCTGTTTTCTGAAGCTTCATCTGGTATCCATGGTAACTTCCTTGACACTGATCACATGGTGTGCATCTTGACACACCCCTTCTTGCCATGTGCCCAGGCAGCCTTTTTGTGTATGCTGCTGGGCTTTGATCTCAGGATTTACAAGTATAATCTGTTCTCCGGGAGACCACCAAACTCAATGCTAGAGAAAAATGGATGGATGACCATGGAAAAGTCTCACAATGTTGCTGCAAATAACAAAAACACTGATCAATGCAAGTCTATCCAGGCAACCTTCGATTGTACGCTCCTTGAGGGTTAGGGACTGATGTGAATGTACAATATATATGTAAAGCGCTGCATAAATTGACGGCGCTATAGAAGAACCTGAAATAAATAATAGAAGAAAACTACAATTTTGTCAATATATAAATTTAAATCAATGTCAGTTTGCAGACAGATGTAGAGTGTTCCCTGTGTTGGGAGTAGGGATGAGCAGAATGATTTAAGATAAACAACTCCAAAAAATATCCAATTTCACTGAAGTGCTCATTTAAGTGCTTAAAGTCTAACTAAAGGCAAAACTATTTTAGTTTTGGATAGAGTGGAGATGGATTAGAACTCCTGTCAGTTTTTATTGCTGTCTATAGCACCATTAAGCTAGGTTCACAGCTATACAGTTTGCGTTCGATCTTTTTCTGCAGTGCTTTTTGCTGTGCGTTTTGTGTTCTTGCACATGGGTTTTTGATGAGTTGTTAATGTGTTTTGCATTTTTTGTCAACTTGTTGCTGGGCAGATTAAAACTCAAAACGCATGAAAAATGCACTACATGCATTTCTGCAGCTTCTCCACTGACGTCTATTGAACCAAAACGCAACATTTTGCGTTTAAGCAAGTCCCTGATCCTATCCAAAAAATGCACCGGGTGAAAACTCAGAGATGTGAATGTGTCCCATAGGAAATCATGTTGAATGGACTGTAGTGCGTTTCTGCAAACTGTACTGGAAAACGCTTAGGTGTGAACCTAGACTTAAAGCGGAGCTCCACCCAAAAGGGGAAGTTCCGCTTTATGCCTTTGTTCCCTGCTCCCCATTAAGGATTGGCGCCTTTGGGGAGCGGGTACTTGAATTTGACAGGTACTCACTCCCACTTCCGCTGCGAATGCCTAGGTGATCGGAAGCAGAAGTTGTCCTCCTCCCCCTCCTTCGCCGTAGTCTTCTGGGATACGTGACAGGTCCCAGAAGACTTCGGGGTCATTAACAAAGCGCAGCTCTTCTCGCACATGCGCAGTGGGCACCGGCTGTGAAGCCGCAAACTGTCACAGCCGGGTGCCCACACTGAAGATGCGGGCTCCAGGAAGAAACACGGTGCCATGGTGAGGACACCGCTGGATCGAGGGACAGGTAAGTGGCTGTGTAAGTGGTGTATTTAGGTTTTGTGCTGCCCTAGGCAACACAAAAATTGGCTCCCCCCCATTGACCAACACCCAAGCCCCCACCCGAGAGAGCTTTCCACTACCAACACCCCCATACACTGGCAACCCTCACCCCCATGCCGAAAAGAGATAAGACACTCACCTTCACAGCTCCAGACATCCCCGGAAACAAGAGTCATGCTCTGCATACACCATCAAGCAGCCCGCAGCCTCTCTCAGTTCCCACCTGGTCCCATGCTGTGTGTGTCCCTTCTTCCTTTCCTTCTTTCAGGGACAGCGCTGCCCCCCCTGAAAAATGCTGCTGCCCCCTTGGAAAAACGATACCCTAGGCAAATGCCTTGTTTGCCTTGTGATAACTACACCGCTGCTATAAACATCTTTGTCTCATTTTTTTACATCACAGGAACCTGACATTTTAACAGGGGTGTGTAGACTTTTTATATCCACTGTAGCTAGCTGGATTGCAACCCGCTTACATGTACATACTAACCTTAGTTAGTACAGTATAAGTGTTAAGAGGATGGAGGAAATATATTTAAAGACTAGTTGGGCTTTAGTTGAAATTGTATTTTAATCAACTTTGAGGAAGGAAATAGTGATGTCCAGCTTCCATGCATCTTTTCTAGGTATAACACATGCATGCTTCTATTGGTCCAAGGAGGTCCAATGTAACTATTCAAAAATATTCATACCTGACATTTTAGTTTTAAGGGGGCCATATATTGAGTGGATTTTGCTCAGTGTGTGGCCCTGTTGGCACAGGTTCATTTTAACACAAACTACCTATATCTGATGGTGTCACTGAGATTTCCATCTGTTGAAGCCAAATAAAACTAAAAAGCACAAATAATCTGAGTAAGTGCACATTCCATCCAGTTAATATTCAACTGAAAGAACCTCTCCTAGTGTTTTTACAGACAAAGTCAGACCAAGCAAGACACAAGAATTTTATATAAGATTTATAGTCAGACATTAGATCTACTCCCACCCATCAAAGCATGCACAAATACACACACACACACACACACGCACGCACGCACGCACGCACGCATGCACGCACACACACACTATTGTCATGCCATTTTTTATTTTCTAAAGTTAAAAGAATAGAAACAAAAAACTAAAATGTTCTACATTCCCTTTTGGAAGAAATATTTATTTTAAACATTTAACACAGGATGCATCAGACAGTTCCATCTCTACTACAATGAGAGTAGGTGTGGAATCTGATCTCCCTTGCTGTTTCAAAAAACAGCTACTGAAAGATCATGAAGAAAGCTGCTGATATTCCACTGAACTTGACACCTGCTGGCTTCAAATATTGAATGTTATGAATTTAAATTTACATGATTGCCAGGAAATACTAAAATATTGTTCACTATTTTATTTTTTTTTGCACTTGCAATATACTAGATACATGAAGTATTTGACCTGCCAAGACAGAAAAATAAGAAATGCATACTCTGAGTTTATCACCACTATCGTTGTAGCATGCAGGTTAGGTGTCCTGTCTTTATGCTTTTTTCCAGGAGATCGACTTACTAAGTAGTGTAGCAAGAACAAGAATTATGGCCCCAAAGTTTGCACCTTCAAAAATAAACAGTGGCAGTGCCCATATTTCTACAGTTAAAAGTTCCTTGCTGTAATTCATGACATGTCTTTATCTTATTCTATAATATATACTGTTTTTAAAACGAGTCTAGTTATTATTGTAGAGTAGGGCTTTTTTTCTCAAAAAATAGGTGCAGGAACTCCTCCCTTCTAGTCAATTCTTCTCTCCGCCCCCCTACTCACCTCCCAATACCGCTCCTTTTAGAATATACAGAGCCAAGTATCCTTTTGTGGTGCTAAAAAAATTTTATTGAATTTTTGAATAACAAGTAAAGCAGAAAAAGAGACACCCCCCCAGCAACAATAGATTCCTCCAACAACAATGGCCCCCAAAATAAAATTCCACCCAAGCAACAAAAGACCCCCAGCAGCTACAACAGATCTCAGAGCAGCCATCATCAATAGACTCACCAGCAGCCAGCAACAATGGACAATAGACCCCCCCCCCTCAACAGTAGATTCCTTCCAGCAACAATACATCCCCAACCAGTAACAATAGTCCACCACACAAAAATAGATCCCTTTCAGTAAGAATATATCCCCCAGCAGCCAGCAACAATAGATCCTCTGTCACACCCCAGCACCCCTTACATACATTCAGTGCAGGAGGTGCCAGAAATGCGGTCCCGCTAAAAAAAAAACTCTGGTGTAGAGTAGCTTTTCTCAATCAGGGTTCCATGGAACCTTAGGCTCAGTTCACACCTGCGCGACTCCAAAGTAGCACAATTTCCATTGTGACTTTGACGTGTGACCTTGATGGTCCCATATAGTCATCACGTGACTCCATGTATTTCTTTTGCATTTCTAGAATGCTCTCTTGCACACAGGTCGCATCAAAGTCGAATCATATTAGCACAGGAACCGTTTCAAACAATGCACTATGATTTGTTGTGCGACTTTGTGTCCAAAGTTGCATGACAAGTCGCACAAGTGTAAATGGAGCGTTAGGGTTGCTCCAGAAGTTGCTAAGAGTTCCTTGAGCAATTTCTGCCTCTTAGATAAATAACCATTGACAGCATTGATCTTTTAGTGATCTGCAAAAGGGGATTCTTCCCATTGACAACAAATGTAACAAGTATTCTTCCCAGAGACCATTGCACTGATGTGCCATGAGTTGTAGATATAGTAGGGGTTCCATGAGACCAGACATTTATTTTGAGGGTTCCCTGTTAAAAAAGTTGAGAAAGGCTGGTGTAGAGGGAATCTAATACTCCAGATATGTACCATGTGAGAAGTCTCAGCACAGCATACGTGCAATTTTCCTGTCTGTATAAAATTATAGACGTCCCACCATACTCTACATGTTTTTCTTT